TAACTCTTAACGACACAAATGTCTATTATTCCTTTGTAATATATGTCAAGTTTAAGTGTCTTTTTTGTCAAATTTTGCCCCGCAAGCCATGCTATAATTGTTTGTATTTTATTCAGAATATTCATTTCCTTTGGAAAATCATAAAGGTGAAAGGAAAATTTCATATGAGAGAGCAGAGGGTTTATGACCCTTAAGTAATTCTTTATTTCTTTTGCTAGTTACCATGCAATTTTAAGTAAAATCTTATTGTAATGAGTATGAATCACTGGAATTTAATTAAGGATTTGAATCATAACATTTACAATGATTTAAATGAATGTTGAATTATTTGTAGACAACGGACATAAATCAAATTTATTCGTTTTATAAAACGTTTTAAGGTCAAAAAACTAGGAAAAGCGTTTAGACTGTCTAGACTGCTAGATACATTATGACATCATCATCGATTTAAGCGTTCTGTCTTTACGACTGTAATAAATAAATAGAGAAAGTAAAGCATTTGTATGGAACTCTGAAATCATGTCGAAAGACACCCAGATACCTATTTTCAGTTAATTATCAGTTTAACATAGATGTTAAGGAATATGAAAGCCCGTTTTCTCACAGACAATGGATAAAGCCAATACATTTCCTCTCTGTAAGATGGAAAAAACGCCAAAATTTATACTATTCTTCATATTTATGAATAAAATGTTTAAAATATGTTTATTCATTTACTTTACCTAAAAACTTTCTCTCGATACACCAAGCTATATTTGCAATTGATCACTAAAAGAGTTCTTTTCTCAAATTTTAAAGATCTGCAGACACCTTTCATGAACTAGATCTTCTCTTCGGCCCAAAAATTTGAACCACCTCCCCCCCCCCCCCATCATGAAAGAAATAAACATTACTTATACGTAAATTGGTTTTACATTGTTTGACTGGTGACAAACCGAAAAAAATTAATTTTTGACTTATTCTTATGAAACATATGGGGATAATGAACAGTGTTCCAGATCATAAGTCCATAAAACAATACAAAATAGGAGCAGAACGCGGACCTCAACAACATCAGAGGTGGGATCAGGTGCCATGGAGGAGTACTAAATCATTAATATTGTACAAACAGTTCTATGTCAAAAAATCTTTAATTTGAAGATGATATGTTGGTTTGTTAGTATTAGACTTTCTAGTCATATTAGGATGATATGCCTTATTAAATTCAACAACGGGATATTCAACAAATATATAAATTTAAATTAGCAATATCAGTACCCTACTGGTGTGTGTAATCAGGTTCCGTACATAAAAATTAAAATTAACACACTTCCCATTTAAGTCATCAAAGCGGAACGAAATTCAAGCATCAAAAAAAATACTAAAGTGATTGTTTGAACGAATTTATTTCGATATAACAAATTTAAAAATTATCTGAAAATTTTTATGACAATTTTAAATGTGTTATAATGAATGCAGGAATATTAATATAACGAAATATAGATATAAAGAACTGCATTTATTTTAACAATACAAATCGGGCAAAGCAATGTCCTTTTCTTCATTAAAAATATTTATATATGTATAGATGACTACATGTATATTAGACCGCTTCCTGTGAAACCGGTGGGGACTATAGGTTTCCTCTGAGTCCGTCCGTCTGTCTGTCCTATGTCTGTCTGTCAGTCTGTCCTACTTGGTTTTCCGCACTTTTTCCCTATGTGAGTGCATCTTGATGAGTTACAGACCAAGTTTTATCGGGAACTAGATCACACTTGCCGGTAGGGGACTAGTATTGCTAATGCTCTTAGAATTCTTGTTTAGAATAACAATTTTAAATTGAATGTACAATTTCCTTTTTTTAAAATCAAATTATTGTGTTGAACTCCTTCAACATGTACAAATTAATTTTATTCCCTCTAGTAAGATTAAGCTAAATTTTAGTTGACAAATGATAAATGCATGACATTGAATATAGCGCTTAAAGTAAAAAGTTTATGAAAGAACATTAACTTATATTACATCTGTAACACATTTGTACTAATTAGCAATCTGTTCTATGACAGGCCGAATTACATCGTCTGCTGAGTCACAGAATCTTCGCTAGTTGACTAGGTTTAGACCTACGGGAAGTCTGCATGGCATGAAACCTTAGTTATTCTAGCTTTTTTTTTGAGAAAAAAAAAAAGAAAAGAAAAAGCGCGAAGGTCTTGGAAAACAGTTACTTTCACTTTCCGATAAACAAAACATAATAGAAAATATATCGTAAATGAGAAAAAAAGCTGTTGTCGATATTTGTGTATGTTGATTTTGAAATGCTGAATACCAGGGAATAACATGAACACAGTCTAAAAAATACGTAAAAAGGATGGTCAAGCAAGAAAACATCTATACACCTCTACTTGAACCAGCCTCATAATTTATAATAATTTATGTAAGTCACGCCTAAATTTCTGTTATATGTATATGGTGTAGTAAAATATTAAAATTTTCAATTACTGAATTGACAACGGATTTGCCAGTTATTCCCCGATCAAAAAAAGGAGCACAAGTCGGGTGTGACAGTTTGGCAGGGGATTTTTACTCCTCCATGGTACCTGATCCTACCTCTGATGTTTTGGAGGTCCGTGTTTGCTCTGCTTTTATTTTGTATTGTTTTATGGAATTTTTGATCTTGAATACTGTTTGTAATCTCCATATTTTTCATGTAGATAAGTTTCATTTCAATAACGATCTTGAAAGTTTGTTTTAAAAGAAAAATTAACGAGTTTTTAAAGAGACAATAATGGTGACATCAACCTTCATTTTAATGATATTTATTGATTAAATTTGGACATGATGCATGCAAATAGTAATATATAGTAAAATTATAGTTAATTGCATTGGATTGATTAAGGGGTATATCCCATTATAGAAATCAAAAGATGGAGATAAATGCATATATATGTCACTTAATGTAGGTTTCTGAATATATATCTAAAATTAAGGTCATGAAATAATTTTCCAAAAAGTCTTACAAAAACTTTTCTTTTGAATCGAATAAATAAAATTTGGAAATGGCAAATATTTATCAATCTAAAATCTATTGAAACAATACAAATGGAGAGAAGATGAAACGATGACCTTTAAAACATCAAAGGTTGAAGCATATGAAATAAAATGTCTATCTTAGCATTGATATACTCCAGAAACACCATACTTGTAGTGCATTAGACGATGTTAAAATAATGAGTGGTACTCAACAATAACTTAAAGTATTGTACAGCGTTTGTAATTTTTTTCCCCAAACTTTTATTTTTCTTCCTGTATTAAAGATCATAAATAAATGACAGGTGGAATAAACTAATTTAAATAAGATGAATTAAACATTCCAAGAGTAATATTTTAGCTCACCTTTGCAATAGCTTAGGAGTGACATAAAGTTATGTTGCTTAAAGGGGAATTCAGGTGAATAATAATTATCGAGTGTAGCGATTTTTTTAAAGAAGACAAAATAAGGAAATAACGAAAACAGTGTTGTATCGTTAAAGAACGTTATCCACCCACCCCCACCCCGAAAGAAAGCTTCCTTGGTGATTGTAGGTATAATTTTGTAAAAAATCATGGTCCTTTGAGTGAAGTGTGCTTTCTTAAAAAAAAAATTAAAATGCATTTTAGGATCAGCAGGAGTGAATGCATGATTGTGCATGTCATGACGTTCGGAGCTTGGATAGAGCAACAATATTTTTATATGTAGCTATAATAGGAAAAAATATATTAAATCTATTAAAAAGATCTAAGCATCACAAGGATCTAATCAGACACCTCGGTATGATGTAGAATCCGTTTTCCTCCCATTATGACTCCTTGATAATTAAAAAATCTTATAAAGGACTACAGGAACACAATATTTATACATGTATGGAAGGACATTGGTATTTTTTTCAAAGCATTACTCTGGGTTATAGTGGAGACATATATATGAAGATAAGAAAAAAAATAACCAGAACCGTAGAACAGTGCATGAAAATTAATGCAATAAGGTTCTCAATAAAGTGCACTATGAATGTTTTCGAATTATGGTCCAGGGACAAATTTATGCATGAGAAAATTAAGAAAACATTTTTAAAAGAGTTTGCAAACAGGATGAAGTGAAATTATAATGGAAAAATGATAGTATTTATTTGCATGAATTTGCAAAATAGAGGATCCTTGAATACAAAATAAAACAATGGTCCACGGAGCAAGAAATGGAAAATTCCGTATAAAAGGTTTTAAAGGCATTGGTATCCCGAAAAGTTTATGTAGATCGGAAGTATTGTGTAGATATGTTAAGGCAACGATTTGGATATAAGGAAGGATATGGAGATAACGAACAGTATTCAATCTCAAATTCCATAAAAATTTGATAAAAATTTGATAAAAATCATACAAAATAGGAGCAGAGCAAACACGGACCTCCGGAACATCAGAGGTGGGATCAGGTGCCATGGAGGAGTGAGCACCACCTACTGACCGGTCACATCGCCGTGTGCTCCTTGTCATGATCGGGAAATAACGAAAAAATCCGTTGTCAATTCAGTGTATAAATAATGGACTAACAATTAGTATGAAAAATTTCAGTCAGCACTTGACTCAGTGATAAATTGTATTTGCTGACAAGGTCATTGCATCGACCATAGAGCTGACGAAATGATGACTTTAAAAGAGACTGCTGATATAAAAAATGAATAAAAATATACAGAAATCCAATTCAATAAAAATGTAATTTTGTATAGATAGAATGTATAAAGGTTCAGTGGGTTGTACCTTTATGGCTATTCACCTCACCTCTGATGTTTTAGAGGTTCTTCTTTACTTTGCTCCTTATTTGTATAAATACAATGAACTTTTTATCTTGATTACTGTTCGTTACCTCCTTTTGCAAGAAAGAGAATGATTTACTCAGGTAAGCACTGTGACATATAGCCGTTTAGGTGTTAACTAAAATCATTAGATCCTTCACGAAGTTACGTGGGTTTGATACATCTCAAACCGATGAATGTCAATTTTTTTTAACATTTGAACTTTTTACCACAAAGTTGAAGCAATACGCAGCGAACCTTGCAATCTGACACGGTTTCTTTGTCTCCAAATAGATTGTCTAATTAACATGGTATATTTGTATCCTTTACATTTAATTACATATTAACGTTCTTCAGTGGTAGCCGGACTTAATATCAGCTGGATTTCTATGTAAGTGTTAAAAAACTTTATAAAAATTATAGACTTCACAAAGTGCTATGTAAATAACGAATATAATGATAAAGAAATGGTGTAACCATTAAGTGATTTTTTATAATCCTTATTATTAAAAAAGTCTACTTTGGATAGATTTTTCTCTCTTTTCGTAAAAAGGGTCATTTTAATTTAACAATAATTAAAGTTATCATTAAAAAACTTCCTGCTATTTACACATTTCTATGGAAATAGAAATGGATGAAGCTTTTCAAAATACTAGTTCTTTTTAAAAACAATTCCTGACCATATTATCATTATTTTTAATCATAGTGAGGGACCTTTCTGAACGACACATTAAATTATTTGTGGTATAAAATTTGTAGTTTAAAAAAAAAACATGCTAGATATACATGTACATGTAGATATATTCTTTTTTTATTATTTTGCTGCAAAGTTCGGCAAGCAAAGGTGTTTTGCTTTGGGGTTGTAATATCAAATGGGGCCTCAATGTCAATTTGTTTCATTGTAAATATGTAAAATCACTACTTTAATTGAATTCTTATTGACTTTAAATAACACGTTTACATTACTTATATTGTATACTTTGTAGCTTACGAAAAACGTGAGAAAGCTATGATCCTGCTTATGATTTAAGACAACAGTCGACAGGCTTATGGTTTCAAATTCTCTGCAATGAATCTAGTGTAGTGTTGACTAAAAATAAAACAAAAAACAGTAAACATATTTATTTTTCATGGCAATGGTTGCTGCATATAAGTACATGTCTCTAACTTTCGAGAGGTCGATTGTCTTGTAAAAAATATCCAAATATTATTAAAATGCGTCAGATTTTATTGTATTTTTATTTCAAGATTAATGAGATATACTCATATATCTAATCAAAATATAACTAAAACTGAAGAAAAAAAATGTTGATATATCTAAATATTAATTACACATAAATAACTAAATGTCCGAACAAAATGCTTGTACTTTTCAAATAAAACGTTAACACAAAAAAGACTGCTTCAAAAATATAGAAACGTTTTTGCTTATAAAGGGGCACGATAAAAATTCCAACAGAATCTTAAAAGATTTTTTTTATCCATAGCCCCTTTATAAATCATGGCCAGAAACACCAATCTTTTCTTTTCTTTTCTGGCCAAGGTCAACCCAATGAGTATATTTTCTATAAATTGGTCCATAAGAGTAACATTTGTTGTTTATAGTTATATCCATGAATTCAGATGTTATAGTTACATTTTTATCAGATTATTATAAAATCGTCAAACATAAAAAGCGATTATGCAAGAATAAGATAAGATCAAGGAGAGAGAGATAGAGGGAGAGAGAGATGTGAGATGCTATAACATTAATTGAGCAAATAATAATTATAACAATAATCGGACATTAGATATGATTTCATTTTGCCTCCATGTCTATGCATTCAAAAATCTTGAAAACGTTTATTGTGTTCCGCTTATTGAAAAACATACATTAGTCTCCAAACGATATTTCCTTTCTGTAGCAAGTTTTATACTGTATTTTATTTTAGCATTTCTTTGAAGACAAATAATTTTTAAGTTGACGTATATTGTCATTTGCTTGTTTGATTTTATTCATGAAAAAATTCTTATGAAATGAATTTGATTAAAAATGAACATTGCTTTAAACAAACTGCATAGTCATTCATTTACTTGCAAAATATAAACATGGGACAAATCCTATGAATAGAATTTGCAAGTTAATTTAAAAAAAATGCAATATATATTCTAATTATAATTTGATTGAAAACATTCAGCTCTATTTATTGGCATATATTGGCGGCAAATGGAGAGCTTAAAAAGTTATTTCTTATCGAAACAAAAAGTGTTGTGTAGTTTTATTGATGTCTTGTACATAAAAAGATCAAATGTCAGAACCAAATTTACTCTTTTCTGCTCAGTAAGAAGGATTTTTTTGTCAAAGAGATTTTTATTACGGTTACGTACCATATAAATCAATCTAACTGATCTATATTGACCAAAACACTTGAATTTTTAGATTGTTAGAATTCAAAAACAAACACATAAACAAACAGAGAATTGGTACAAAGCGTCAAAGGGGATAAAAGTGTAATTTGTGAACATCAGTACAAATTTACAATGTCAACCTCTTCTGTTTTAATTTTCTTACTATTTGGGATTTTGATTTTCTTTCAGAATACCAAATAATTCAAAATGAAAAATCAGATACACATGTATTCATTTAGTCTTGGAAAAAGTATTAGCAACTTTATTCGATAGTTCCTGAAACTTACAGGAAAGCACATAACAAATGTACGTTTCATTATGTATACACTATTTTAATAATCATATCAGGCAAATAACACAGTAATCATGATAAACATCATAATATAAACTTCAGTGTCATAGTTAATTTATATACCACATTAAGAGTTCAAGTGCTTCGCTTTTTATAAAAAAAATCTTCTAGTAAATCATTTCCTTCTAACAACCAAATTGACCGCATACTAACGACTTATCTTTTGGATACAATCTAGGACTTAAAAATAATAAGTGCGTAATTCCGTTCTACAGTTTTTATGGACCATGTACTTCGCTTACAAATTATTGTTTACTTTTTTAAAAATATAAATTTATTATCATGAGTACAGTAAATGAACAGGATCTTATATGACTGGTTTATTGCATGATAAATGACAACTTTTAATAGAAAGAAATCTCCCCAAAACACGAGTCCGCAATGCCATTTAAAATTAATTTCAATTAGCTCAAAAGGTACTTTAGTGGACTTAAGATTTTCATAAGATTAAGAACGTCTTTAAAAAAATTATGAGATGACATGACTAGGCATAGAATTTGAGGATTGACAAACACCACGCATTTGGACAACATTATTTGACATATTGTGGTTTCCTTTATTAAATCACTCGTGTTTGTTTAACTATGGTTGACCGCAACTGGAGGAACAACACGAAAAACTACACTTTCATTTTAATCCTAGCGTCTAAAATCAATGATAAAACAATAATTAGAATAGAATATGTTGATTTGAGTATTTAATATGCATTCAAATTATTAATGTTTGGATATTTAATGCATTCTAAATATGCCATTCGTATTACTTATACATGTATTGGGATTTTAAATCTTGTACAGAATAACCCCCAAACGTATGACATTCTTTTATATGGTATCAATGCTCCTTTTGTTTTAAATTGCTAGTACTTCTAAAATGATAAAAAGATGAAGTAAACTTATGATTATAAACTACAAGTATATATGCATCGCAAATTAATATGAAAACTTATGTGAGAATGCTTTGTCATCTAATATTCCAGTTCAAACTGTACTCGCAAGTGTCTTCCACAACAAGTACATGAATGATAAACGTAATGATTTAAACTTCTCCGTCATAAATTTCCTTTTTCTTTTGCATTCTATCATTAACATCTGCATATGAAGTTTAAGACAATGTGCAAGAATACGTTCTACATGAGCATCTACGAACAATATCAAAGCCCAGGCTTTTTAATTTGATATCTTTTTGACAGCTGCTTCAATAAAAATGGAACTCGTAATTTACTTACCTTGTCATTGGTCATTTGCAAAATTTTTTGTTCAAAAACATTCTGATTGTACACACAAGTACTCTGAAGTTGACTTCGAAAATACGAGGGTTGTCCCAAAAAGTCGTAGACAGGGAAAACAGTTTATTTTCTCATTGTTGAATTAAGTTTCTTTTCTTGTCGTAGCAAAAAGTAATATTTAATGATCATGCTTTTCAAATTTCATGATGATATCACATTTAATAAGAAAATTATGAAAAAATAAAGAAAGCATGTAAGTGTACATCGGCGCACGAAAGCAAGCGTAATTTACGTTTCTTATAACGTCATGATCTCTTTTCTGCTTCACACGCGTCTGTTAACATTCAATTTTTTTTAAAGTGAAAGACCACTCTTGGCTATGGGACTTATTTAAATTCACTACTGTCTGGCTTTTTGTTGTTGTTTTTTTTAAGTAGATTCAAATTTTAGTCGAAATTTAGTCGAAAGATCGCCATACATTGCAGGTAGCAGAAAACACGCATTGTTTGACGTCGTTCGTGACCAAGACTGTTCCCCATTGTCTGCTTACCTTTACAAACAGTACTCTACTTCTAACATGCTGTAACTATTTTTTGGTAATGAGGAAAAACTCTCATTAAATCTCCTGCCATTTACAAATAACTTCCCTATTAAAATCTAGGTGATAATGTCACTTCTGTACTCTTTTTTTCTCTCTCTGATACATACAAACCTTATTCAAAACAATTAATTATATATCCGTGCGCCGGTTACGCGTTTGACTACGTCATTTTCATCAAACTCAATTCCAACAACACTTTGAAAATCATGACACCAATCATCTGTTTCCAAAGCTATTTATATGAAATTTTGACATATTATTAAGATTTTGATTCTGATTTCACTGATTTAAATTAGAGTTCAATGTTTTACATAGTACTTAAGAAATAAAAGCAAATGTAATAGTTATATGCGTAAATTATTCCGAATTTTGTCCGTGCGCCGACATACCTTATCGGTAATCATTTAAATCGTCCTAATATTATTGATATGAAAGATGAATATTTAAAAATCTACAATGTTAAAGAACATTGAATATAATATGTCTATGCAAAATTTGGTTAGTATTGGCTGCATGTTTAAAAAGTTAAAAACATTGTCTACGACTTTTTGGGACAACCCTCGTATGCTCGAGTTTCTGATTGGCGATATCTATAAGGTTTTTGGAAACCAGGTCTTCCAACAATCTATTGGAATTTCCATGGGTACCAATTGCACCCCGTTATTAGCAGACCTATTTTTGTATTCATATGACAGAATTTGTCCAAAATCTTATGCGTGAAAAGAAGAAAACACTTGCTGTGGCCTTCAACTCGACATTTACATAATTATATCAACGATGTCTTGTCAATAAACAATGATAACTTCCATTCTCATGTCGATACGATATCGATCCCGGTGAGCTTCAAATAAAATAAACCACAGAGTCTGACACATCTGTTTCATATTTGGATATTTTACTTGAGAAAGACTTTAATGGTAATCTGACAAGAAAATTCTATGTTAAACTTGGTGACCTTAACTTTACAATCGTCAGCTTCCCTTACTTAAGCAGCGATATACCTCCATCACCTGCAAACGGAGTTTGTATATCTCAGTTGATTCAATACGCAAGAGCATACCCTTAGTACCTTAGTATGAACAATTTCTAAAACGAGGAACAAGAATATCAGCAGTCTCGTTTAAAGTCATCATTCCGTAAGTTCTATGGTCGATACATGACCTTGTCAGCAAATACAATTTATCATTGAGTCAAATGCTGACTGACATTTTTCATACTAATTTTAAGTCCATTATTTATACACTAAATTGACGATAGATATTTTCCCGTAATTTCCCGATCATGACAAAGAGCACACGACGGGACTGTGACCGGTCGGCAGAAGATGCTCACTCCTCCATGGTACCTGCTCCCACCTATGATGTTTTTGATGTCCGTGTTTGCTCTGCTCCGACTTTGTATTGTTTTATGGACTTTTGCTCTTAAATACTGTTCGTATTCTCCATATGATTCGTCTAATAAAAGGCATGATATGTCGAAAAATAACGTTGACGATAAAGGAATATCAACCATTTCATATTCAGTCAAAATTTTGCAAATTCTATGGACCATAACTTTGTTTAAAAACATAAGATGAAATGTCTCTCAAGCAGATTTTAAAGCATTATTTTAAAACTATATTCACTACAGACGTTTTTATTATCCAATCTTGACAAACAGCAGATTGAATGGTCGAAGGGATGCTCAGTCCTCTTTGACACCTGATTCGATTTCTTGCTTGAGTGTTTACTCTGCTTACAACATGTCTGCTGTTTGGTATTTTAACATTTCATCAAATTTCTCAGTCTATTAAATTTATATCTTCTCTCAAACAAACGAGACATACCAGGTACTACATGTAGTATTATTTACGGGGAAATCTTTTTTATGCAATATTTGTTCTCGGTTCAGAAGTAGTGGATTTTGTACTAATTAAATTGCCTGATATCCAAGTGAAGTATCATGCAAGGTTCTAAGGATGCACTCCAATCAAATGTCAAACCAAGACTACATATAGAGGCCTTCTGATTATAAAATCATCTATTTTGCGTTTATATTTTCTACCATAGTTTAATCGTAAAGTATTGTAAAAAGTGCTTGGAATACTAAACTATTATCATGAGGACTTTACAGGCACTTTTTTGACTTCCTAATAATATGTTGTACACTTTCTTGAAAGGTTTTGGTTTTGGCAATGGTATTTCTATATGTCTGGTATGGCCTTAGTGTTCGTAGTCTGTGTGCCATTTAGAATATGTTTTCTTACTAACTCCGTAAATTTTATCGAAATAACTTTTATTAATAAGCAACAATGTATATTTCATGAAAGTCCCGGAAATTAAACAAAATATATATATTTATAAGTTGTGTCAAATAAAATCACTTTTTTAATGATTGTTACTAATTATACATTAAACATTCCTAATGTTGAATGATAATTAAATTCCATAATATCATGTTGTCTCATCATCGATGCAAAGTAATTGCAGATATGAGTCTCATTCAAATAAAATTTATATATATTCAAATTAAAAAGTTTATATAGAACTAGTTTTTTGTTCAGAAACATAAAATCTGAATAACGTATGCATAAGGTACTAGTATTTCTTGTTTTCAAACTTCTCAAATTTTGTATTTTATGTCAACCTTTTCTTTTGAAGCAGTTAAGATTTTATCCAATTAATTATTTCTACCTTTTTTGAGTTGATTATACAAAAGTTTAAAAGAATTTCATGTTAATAAAATTGATATTACACACTGCTTTACAATTGATAAAAATTATTCTTCAGCACTTCTCTGAATAATTTTCATCTTTAGATATTTATTTTTTAAAAATTGTCATATTTTCTACAAAACTAAAACACTATGAGAGAGAGAGAGAGAGAGAGAGAGAGAGAGTTTAAGCATTATATTTTTGCCTTGAACTATCTGTAAACTCTACATCATCATATCAGCATAACATAAAAACATCTCAATTTTCAATTGTAGAGTTGCCAACAGACTAGGAAAGATGATTTTCCTTACAATATGTTTCCAGCTTTTCGTGATTTCGGAGTGTGTTAATATATCTGTCATTGAAGACCTCTATACTGTCATCAAAAACCAGCCTGAATATGAAAACTTGAGTATGTGGATTTCTTGAATTTAAAATCAAATGTTCATTTCAAGAAAATCATGTAATCATGTACTATCGGTATATAAACGATTACAAATTCTGCACTCAAGGTATTATTCAATATAAAATCTTGGGTATTACACATTGAATTGCTAGCAGACAAATGGTATATATGTATAATTTTAAGGCAATATCATTATGTTTCAATATGGAATCTTCTTGGGTCCTTTCATCTGATAAAGAAAAGCAAATAGTAAAAATAAGTTCTCAACTGATGAGATTAACTACACTTTCAAATTAAATGTAAGATTAAACTTCGAGTCAATAAATACTCAAAAGATAACAATCCTTTATTGTCTCTATTGTAGCTGTTTTTGAATTAAAGACATCCACAGATTTTAATGCTGAAAATCCGCTACCAAGCAACATGTTCCCTGTTCTGTATGAGACCCGGAAGTATAACTTCATTCATGACGTCATTGAGGAGATTGCTTACGAGTAATTATCATTTTAACAATCTTTCATTAAGTCAAATGCTGATGGACGTTTTACATACAAATTATTTGGACATTATTTACATAATGAATTGCCTACGGATTTTCCCATTTTTTCGATCATGACAAAGAGTACACGGAAGGTGTGACCTGTCCGCAGGGGATGCTTACTCCTCCATGGTCCCACCTCTTATGTTTTAGAGGTCCGTACTTGCGTACCTCCTGATAAGTATTGTTTGAATGGAGTTTTAAGCTTGGACACTAACCATAATCTCCATATTTCATTTTAATGTTCTACGACTCATGATTCGACAAATTGTCCACTACCCTAGTTTTTAAGTGAAATTAAAATCCAAAGATTGTATTATTAATTGCCATGCATGCAGAAACTCGTATACAATGAATATTGTGCAATCAAATGCACTTTATCCGAAAATGATCAATTTTTATAAAATCTTTCAATGATTGTAAAAATTTTTAAATGTATTTGTAAGTACATGAGCAAATATCAATTAGACTAAAAAGGATAAACTATGGTAATATAAATGTTTTCCTTCAGTGTCAATACAAAATGTGACAAACATGACATTTTTTTAATATTACGGATACAACACAATTAATTCAAACAGCAGAATCACACAGAGGATGTTTATTAGATATGCATTTCATTGCACGCTACTTGAATTTAATCAACATAAATAATAAAATTATGAATTCAACAACAGAAAAAAATAATCAATCAAAACAATTTTAAATCAAAAAAGTAATTTTGTTTTATTCAATTTTAGAGAAAATACAACGTCTTCAGCCTTGATTGAAAACGACGAGTTCCTTATACCGTTACATTTAAAGTTTACAGAAAAGGATTGTGAACTGGGTCCATCTCATGGACAATGTAGCGATGACCAATACAGATCACTGGACGGTTCCTGCAATAACATGGTATCCCCAACCTGGGGCATGTCTGGACAGGTTCTCCGGCGCTATCTGTCCCCTGGGTATCATGATGGTTAGTCTGTGTTATCTGTTCTCTGATAGGACCTTTTCTGATTGAATTACAATAACCATTGACAAATATATCAAAGTAAAGCTAAAAATACTTTATCAAATTCTACGTTTTTTTTTGTTTATGTACAAAGAAGAAGGTACAGTTTCAATACAAATTATGCCCTATATTTTCTAAAATTTGAAAGTGATATATGAAATCAAAATTCATTCTTTCTGAATCATAGGAATTCTCTCCAGTAAGAAAACACAAATGATTTTTCTCATATAACCTTCTAAATACTAATTGTGACGTCATTAACTTGTGCATTTTCCCGTATTTTCTTAAAAAGTTGCAGAAGACATCAATTTTCAGTGGAATTTTCTTTGAAATTTTGTCGCCCTAAAATATATCAAAATTTAAAGTGGGCTTTGGGAAATTAGCAGAGAAATGTGTCATTTTGAAGCTTTTCTGCATTAAACTTAGAAATGTACCAAATTAATGACGTCATATTTCCAGAAAGGTCCTCCTTCATGCAATTTTCTTTAATAATTTATCATATGCATCTACTCAACTATTGTTGAAACCAATTTCATAACTTTTTAAGGACATTAAAAAAATTATATATTTTTGTGAACTATATAGGATAAAATCACAAATTTCTTTGCATGCTTATGAATGAAATAAAAAAAACCAACAAATTTTCAATTTTAAATTAAATTATCAAAAAAAAGAAGGTTTTTTGTCATAAATCTCATTTTCAAACATACTTTAGTATAAACTAAACTTCATTTAATATTTTAATCAAGGAATAGAAATGCCAATCTCCTTAGACATCACTGGAGAACCGCTTCCCAGTGCAAGGGAAATCAGTAACTTATTCCATAGACAAAGTGATGTTATGGATATGAACTTGGTTCTATCTGCTATGGTTATGCAGTGGGGACAATTTTTGGAGCATGATATTTTATCTGTACCTGCATACAGAGGTAAATCATATCATAACGTTTTTGAAATACATATATTTATTGCTGTAAAGAACTGATCGCAAGTTTTAATAACTCGTATTGAATTTGCTTTAAATAGACACAATGTCTTTTAAATTAATGGTGATAAAACATACCTATGTATTTACAAGCATTTTCTCCTAAATGAAAATCAGAATATGTATATTACTTGAATGTTACTTTGTTTGGTTCATATTTGGTTCATAGACAAGAATGGCCAGACTTTAGATTGCTGTGGAAGAGACAAGAACAAGTAAGAATACTCTTTCAAATAAAGTCATCTAAATTCTCGGAAGTGCTTTTCAAATCGTTATTTAAAGAGACTGGGGGTGGCAGCCATTTTCAGACTATTTCGATCTCCTTTAAAAGAAGAGCACCATATAAAGATATTCAAAAATGATCAAATTTTAAAACTAAAATGTATGAATTTTTTCTTTGCCAAATGATAGTTGACAGCTTAAGATACCGTAAATAAGAAAATAAGTTAAATCTGGTGGTTAATTTGTAGCTAATTTGTTGACCTCCCAGCCTCCTTAAGAACAGTATAATAAATAAAATAATTAAAATTTATAAGAAATGGAAATTATACGATTTCAGTCATGAATGCTTCTCTATAAAAGTTCCCCCAAACGACCCATTCTTCAAAAACCGATGCATCCCGATGGTACGTTCTGCACCTGGTGTTGGACCAATGTGTTACACTAGTGAGTACAATCTATGCTTATATGTCAGACATTTTATCACTCAAACCCTTTGGATTAAAAATATTACTTTAAAAAAAGATAACGAATAGTCATTGATCTCAAAACACCTTTAAACAATAAAATCTGTAAAGAGGGCTTCACATGGTCCCTTGGAGAATTCCAGAGGTGGGATCAGATGTCTTGCAGAAGTAAATATCCCCTGTAGACCGATCACATCCGCCGTGAGCCCTATGTAAATCATCTGGTAAACAGATCATATCGTTGTCAAATTCATAGAAACAAAGGTCTTAACATAGTATGTCAAGTCAGATAAGTCAGCTATATAATATCGACCCAATGATAGATTATACTTGCTAACAAGGTCATTGTAGCGAGCAAAGAATTTACTTAATGCTATCTTTAAACGAGTTTGTTGAAATTTCTGTAACATTCACTTATCTATCAGCAGTCAGCCTCTGTTTAGAACTATTGTACATGGAGTGTTTTCTTGAGTACCAAGTAACTTTGTCGATGTTAACACAATACGCAAGTGGGGGGTATTGCTACAAATACTAGAATAAGGAAATCTGACGATAGAAAAATTGAATCCATATTGTTTGCTATACAGTTTTGTTACTAGTTGTCCCTTATCAGCAATAGTAACTAAATTTTCCAAATATGAACTCGGTGTGGCAAACTCTTTCAACGGATCCATTCAATGATTTCTAACCGGTTCCGTGTAATGAAGTTTTTAAAATAACTTTTAACCCCATAATATGGTTAATCGTTATATACTAGTATGTTTTGTAAACCCATTTTCAGCAAAAAGAGAACAACTGAACCAGGCAACAGCGTTCATCGATGGCTCTCATATTTATGGCACAAACACAGAGACACTGAGACAAATAGTTGATGCAGATACTGGTAAGAAATTATGTCCTATATTGTTGAAGGTACCTCAAAATGTTTGACTCATTTTCTATGCCCATCGAATTAGAAAAACAAAAAGTTTGCTACTTTGCAATTAAGCTTGAATTAGACATAAAAAGTATGATGTAAACGATTAAATTGCACTTAAGCTTTGTTTCTAAATAACATGGATAAGATGTATTGAAATACTCATTTTGTTGATTTATTTTACACCTACATGCAGAACTAGCCAAGGTTAGGTTGTGTGTTAAAAATGATCATCGTCTGATACAAAGCATATTAAATGGTTGGCAACACGTAGCGAGAATGAGCAATATTTTGTAACACGAGATGTATTATGTTCTATTCTAATGAAATATTGGTAAACGAAACGTCGTTTATTTTTCTGAGTTCCTTTTCTCCTCTAAAGGGACAAATTGATGTTAAGGAAGAGTTTGTGAAATGTAGGAGTATTATACATGTATATGAAACCTAGGATCAAGGGAGAGGAAATTAAAATGTCCATTAAGGCAAAACCCTGACTTTTTCGTGATGAGAATCGTATAGCAATTCCACTCTAATCAGGCTTTATCAAATAAATGTCTGAGTAAAAAAAATTCCATAATCCATAACTGCTATTTTAATAACAGAAAGGGAAACAGTGAACAGCTCAGTAGATAATTATTCTTTACGATTATGTTCGATTTTGAATGTTTGATAAATTTTAGAGGGGATGTTCCTGTCTGGAACACACTTTTTGAATATATTCATTAATATGGTTAGTAAGGAGTGTTCAAATAAATTTAAAGGAATTTGATTTAAATTTGAAACATTTTTTTGTTTAGCTGATGACTAAATTTTATAATTATAAGTCATCCTTTATGCATTATTTTCATCAAAAAAGTGAGAAATGTTTGTTCAAATAAATTTTAATAAAGGAAATTGATTTAAAATTGAAAAAAATTAGATGGTGTCTATGATTTTACAATTAAAAATAATCCTTTTTGCATTCTTTTTCCGTAAAATAGGTGAGAAAGAAGGAAAACAATGAAGGTGAGAGTTAAATATTTTTTTGTATTCCTTAGGAAAACTAAAAGTAAATGGCAACAATTTGATTCCAACTGCTGATCCTGGCCTAGAAAATTGTATCCTGGAGAAGAGTTTTGACTACTGTCAAAAATTAGGTAAAAATCTTTATTTACAAATCTCATCGGATTATTTTTTTATCGTTTAAAGAAACAATTTCATTGCCAACTTTTCTATAACAATCAAAAAATAAAATTAACAGCTTTTTTCAGGTAACTTAATAAAATCGAAAGTGACAGTGTAAATGTTGAAACTTTCTTGTTCAGAAAAAATTCTACAATTTTTTTGCCCACTCTTTTGCCTTTTTTACCTTGCATATTTGGATTTTTTTAGATCGATACCTGGCCCTAAGACCATAAACTGAGAATAGACTTAAGTCGAAATTATGATTATTAATAAATTTACTTTCATTTAACATATTAAGTTAAAATTTTGCAATCTTGTATAACATTTAAATTCAAACATATGTTGAAAATTTTGTTTAGTCATTACGATTTTTTTTAAAAAGTTATATTGGTTTGAAATTCTGACTTAAGTCTAATCTCAGTATATGGTCTTGGGGCCTGTTTGTTTACTTCACTTTTTACATGTACCTCATATGCCAAGGATAAATAAATATATTACCCCAGAAAAGAAAAAAACCCAGAATCAAAGAGACAAAAACGAAATTCAATTACAAGAACCTTTGAATTAAAAAAGTACCTTTACACATTCAGGACTTTATGCAACATATTTGATGAATTATTGCTTGGAATTCATGTAGGAGATTGAGGTCTGAGTTCATTGACAATGAAATATGACTAAAATTGATTTATAACATCAGGATATTGTGTGTGATTTAATTTTCACGTTCCATATTAATTTAATTAAAATGGGGAGACAGGTAAATTTTTGTTCATGGCCAAAATAAAAAATAAAATATCATGGAAAGAAATTAAAAAAAATTATCGACTCATTATTTCTGACTCAGACCATTTTTTAGAGAACAAGAATGGAAAATCAAGAGATAATTCCTGTAAATGTTCAGAAAGAACCTTGATCTACAGTTTGCAAAATTTCAGTTGGTTTTTGCATAGTATCTATTGTATTAAATGAGGCTGAATGCTTTTACTACTCACACATATGTGCATTTGTCTTAAGATTGAAATACCAGTATACATCGTGTACATATCTTAAAAAATATAGGAAATGAAAAATTATTACAATCAAGAACAAAAAGCGGGCTAAAATACCAAGTAGAATTCTCTTATAGATTTGAAATAGAAAATATAGCTTATGTACAGTGTATTGACACTATTAATTTGAAATTAGATCATCTAGTATCGAAACAGATTTTGCTGAAAAGAGTTAAGGATTCTGGCTTTTCATGTAAAATAACATAATTTCTTATCACATGAATATAATCTGTATTCTTAACAATATCCCACACTACAAAATATGTAGATTATATAAAAAAAATCAAATAGTGTTATTTTAATTGGTAAGAAAAATGCATAAAATAAATGTATTTTGCAGGTGATGATAGAATAAATCTAAGCCCAGCTCTCACTTCAATGTACACTTTGTTTGTAAGGGAACACAATCGTCTTGTCGACAAACTACAATGTAGAAACCCGCAATGGCTTCCAGAATTTGTCTTCCAAGAGGCGAGGAAGATCATTGTAGCTCTGATTCAACAGATCACTTACACCGAGTACCTTCCGGTCATTTTAGGGAAGGAGGGCATGTGGAAGTACGGCTTAACCATCAATATTGACGGATACGACTATTCTACCTATAATCCAAATGTGAATGCTGGAATCGCTAACAGTTTTGCTTCTGCAGCTATTAAATTTATCCACACCCAAATGCCAAGTATGCTTGGTTTTTACGAAAACCAAACCCAGTACGTAGATTTAGAGAAAACGTTTCACAGACCCTGGTATGCGCAACAAGATGGCGGCAGAGGCATGGAAGAGATAATGGAATGGCTGGTTAATGATGCTCAACCGGAAACCAATAGGTCATTTTCCTTTGTTATCTTGCCATTAAAAACATCCCTTAAATCCATGTTTACCACTCATAATGCTCTCGAGAAACTATAGCTATGGGGGAGGACTATCTACCAATAATTCTACAATCTGACAGGATTCCTTGGTTGTAAATCACTGGCTTGTTAGGCTACCCAACCAAAGTATATTTCCCTGACATCGCATGATTGTATATCCAAACACATTAACGAGTTAGTCATGTTACCTCTGAAATAATCAAAGTACATTTCGAAGGCGACGTCATTTTACTAATGTTTCCGCTACAACCTTGTTCACTGGTAAAGTATAATAAATCATTAGCTTCAATTATTAAACAGTGCCACCACAAATGGTTTTGCGATTACCTCTTTAAGCTGGAGGGAGCAGTTGGTTTTGATGAAAGACCTTTTGATCCATTAGAGTATGGAAAGTTCCAAAAGTCAATGCTTTGTGTAGTATACAAAGATTACTCTAAATTAAAACTTAAAATTATGGCAGCAGTTTGAGCTTATGCATTTAAGCCTTAAGTCGAAATGATATTTATATCCTTAAATCCTGAGATCAGAGTACATGGTATTATTTTTATTACTTAATTTGAACTTTTGAAAAATGAGATAGATAACTGCTAAACTTTTTTTAAATGACCAAAGGTATCAAAATTTGCGCCCGAGACCAATAGGGACTAGAATAGCAAACCATAATGAAAAATTGGTGCGTGTTTCAATAAAAAAATATTTTATTCATTAAACTTTTTCATATAATGATTTATCTGTTCTTTTTTCCATGTCTCTGCATTAGAATATTATGTCATCCTGTTTCTGGGTCCATTTTTTTTAATCTATCAAGTATCTGAATGTTTTATTCTGTCCTATCATTTACAGATTTTACGTTCGTACACTGACAGATTCCTACCTTGAGTATAACGGAAGTAGTTTGGACCTGGCAGCTATTGACATACAGAGGGGGCGGGACCATGGACTTCCGGCCTACAACTCATGGCGGAGGTTCTGCTCACTTCCAATCGCAGACAAGTTTGAAAACCTGCTGGACCACGAACCTGAAATGATAGAAAAACTGAAGCAGATATACAAGTAAATACAAATTCATGAAAATAAAGCCAGAGATTTCATTTACCATCATTATTTTATAGTGTACGAAATTTATTATACAAAAATGTTTTATGTTGAATATTTCCGCAAAATAATATAAATAATCAAGTCTCGGAACAGTGCAATATAAACTGTTGCCAGGCTCCTTTTATCTAATTTTAAATTACTTTTTTTGTATTCTACTGTGTTTATCATGTTAAGAAAATACATTATTTAAAAAGTTTTGATCTTAAAGTTAGTTATTCTAAATATTTGTATTATAGCAAATATTTTGCATTTAAAGGTTTAGACAAAATTTCTTCATAAACAAACGTTTGAATGCTATATTCCTAATTAATGTTTACAGATCGCCAATGGACATAGACCTATTGACTGGG